ATGCATGATCAAAACCGAAAGTTTCTGTGATATGACTGCCCTTGCACTGTTCACCATGTAAGAACTTATTCACTATGTAAGAACTTGTTCACCATGTAAGAACTTGTTCGTTATGCTTCAGAAGATTGGAGACTGTTGAGAATTAGGCTTGGGGTTGATTAATGATTGTGCATTGAGTCCCCTATACAGAATTTTATTGTTGTTAACAACCATTCGATCGATAAATATGAGAGATGCCCTCTCAAAAAAATAGAAAAATTAAAATTAAAATTGTTGAGATTTATTCTGGCAACACATATATTCCAATCTACTATCTTTAATAGCCATTATATTAAGCCGATCCACCTATTCTCCTGCCAAAGGCCAGCTGGCCTTGTCTCTTTCTAACACTAATTCTTCTTACCCACAGGCCTGTGGGAGCTTCTCTCATCCAGGAAAAAGTGGGGCCTTCACAGGCACTTACAAAACAAATATATTAAAAGATATTTCCAAGTGGATGAGAAAAAAAATTAAGTCTCTCTTAAGAAAGTTGAAGACTTCTAGAGAAGGGCAGACACCTTCGTAATAATTGGAAGTAGATGTAGACACTGCCTTCAGGATTAAGTCACAGAACATGGCGGCCAAGGTTGGGGAAAAACTAAGTAAATTTAGGAGAAGTACAGTTGTGTTCACAGTGAACCCAGCACTGTGACAGGCTTTCCTTATGAAGGTTCAATCAGGGAAGACTAGTGAGTGCCCACTGAGACTCCCTTTCTGATGCCATAGGCTGCGTGAGCCACCCTTGTGTCCGAAGGAAACTCTGAGGTGGATTCTGAATGTTTCTTACAGATCCTGTTCGTATTTACAATTTCCTCTAACATAAACGATTTCATCTTACATAAACAACGGTCAAGCCACTATTATTCCTCTTTCACAGAGCAAGCTGCTGAGGCTCAGGCCGGCAAGACCTTGCCCAGGGCCACACAGACGCTTCCGTGTCTCAAAGCTACAGAGGCCAGGGAAGCAGCCCCCATGGGGAGTCTGATCAGACCCGTGGCTGACCTTGGTGACGGGGACAGGTAACTCCAAAACCTGTGGAAGCACACAGACCCAGGAAGGAGCCCACAGGTATGTCACGTGGCTGCAGAGCAATCACAGCAAGAACATATTACGATGCTTTGTTGGAATCCTGGCTACCGACTCCATGGTTTCAAGAAAATGTCCTTTACATTCAGAGCATCACCTGCGTGTCAGCCTCCACCTGTCGGTTTCCTGAGCCTGGCCCAGCACTGGCCAGGGCCCCAGAAAGCCCTGTGGTTAATTGTGTCTGTGCAGACTCACCTTGGGGCACTGGTTTTCTCCTTTCCTGCTTTTGTAAGAGGTACCAGTTGTAAATCAAACAGTGTCACAGCATTACTCACCGGTCATGGAAAACAGGAATCTTGGAAGGACACTGCAAGTACTGCTTAAACCGGAGCTCAAAGGCTTGTCCAATGGAGCCAATTACGTCCTGCGCCAGCCCGTCGCAGCATTCCAGAATGTGACAAGCTGTGAGAGCAGGGACAAGGCCAGTTAGGGACACGGGGTATCCCCGCCTCCTCCACACAACCCAGTCCTGAGGCGAAACCCCTCAGCAAGGGCGAGGAGGAGGGCAGGAGGGGGGAGTGCCCCCGGCGGTGCCCAGCAGCTCCACTGGGCCCTGCAGCTGTGCCCTTTCATAGTAGGAATGCATTTCTTAATAGCCTGTTTCCTCCAAAATTAAAGGTTCTCTATCTGTAAAAAATAACATACAGGCTGTTACAAGAGAAAAACTTCACTTTGTTAAATGATGTAAAAAAAAAAACTTAAAAAATTTAAAGTTCAAAGCAGTTGCTCTCAACTTTTTTACAGTCTATAAAATACCAATTCAGAATTCAAAAGAGAAACAGGGTTTGGAAGGAAACCTCGAAAGAACAAAGAACCAGATTGGACAAAGAAATGAGTTCCATTAAGGCCCATGAGCCTTAAAAAATGGAGAATCCTGGCCTGTTTGATGGACATAGAGTAAGTTGTTTGTTTACTTCCTGCTCGGAGTGAATGTCATCACCAAACGCGGCAGCTTGAAACAAGAACCACACCTTTAAGATGAATTTAAAGGAATCTCAATTAATCATGGGACCACCAGTATGTTCATCCACTCTAATGGGAGCCTGGATATTCATGCAGGTTCTCAGAAAAGCAGCCTGTGCTAAAGCCTAGATCAGAGTCAGGGGTGTTGGTGGCCAGGCGAGGGACCCTCAGAGCTTGAAACAGCCTTAACCTCTTTGTGGTGGGCACCCTCCAGCCCATATGACTGCGGTACAACCACGGGACACATTCAGAGGAAAGAGAGTGGAGCAGGGGAGGGTGTGGGAGAAGGTCCCCACCTCCACAGACACTAACCCACACATCCACAGGGGGCCCAGCCCCTCCATGGGTGGCTGTGACCACTGACAGGGTCTTGTTACGAGTGGGATTAAGTTCTTCCTGGAGACACTGATAAATGCCTGTGTCACCATCTGTCACACACACCTTTCTCTTTCTCTGGCCAACAATAGGATGTCATTGTATTTCAAGGAGGGGTCCTCCAAGGCACAGGTGGGGGGTGCTGGATGTGAGCTGGACGTGCAGCACAGGGCTGACTGCCCTGGCAATAAAGGGGTATCAAACAGTCCCATCTCCTAGGGCTGGTGACAATCGCATTCTTACTCGTTACTGGGCAGCAATCCCAGTGGTAACCCTGCTTTGATCTCCATCCTGAATCTCAACACCAGGCCCCCTCCAACCGGGGAAGAGGGAGCAGCAGGCCCTGCACTGATGGGCTCCCGAGCTCTGTACTGGGCCCACACATGGACGTTCACCCAGCCCCTCCTGACCAGGAGGTGCTGGCTGGAGCAGCCTTCTGTGACTCGGCAGCAGCAGGAGACAGGATGTCAGGAGCACCAGTGGTGCCTGTCACACCCACTGAACCCCAGATGCTTTCACTTCTCTAAATCAGAGGGCATAAGGGTGTTTTCATACATTCCTACAGCAAAGAATGGTTTGCTACCCCAAGCATGTGTCCCAAATACATGTCTACGTAGTTACAAATTATTAACACGTATTCCTGTATGTATATAATATTATGCATATTATAAAAATGTCTTTTAAAAAGATGTTAAAGGGATAGGGACCCCAATACTAGGGAAATAGGGCAGCAAGATCAGTGAGAGGGTGCCTGAGGCTGGCGCTGGAGAATAAAGTAAAACGAGCAGCCATTTTTTTTTTTTTTTCCAGTAGTCGTTGATTTGTTTTGGCGGGTGCTTTTTGGAAGTCTTAAAGGGGCGGGGTGGGACACTTAGTCCAGAGGTAGAGAATCTGGGGATCTCTGGGCACTTTAATCCCCTGGGCTGCAGGTAGCACGGAGGCCCCTTACAGAGATAAATAGCCTCCTGGACGCTCCCCCTCCAACGCAACTCCACCACTTTGGAGTAGCAGCCCGAGCCAGGCCATGCCCACAGCAACAGCAGAGATAAACTCCATAGCAGCTGGACAGGAAGCAGAAGCCCTGTCTGCACACAGCTACCCGGCAAAAGCCACTAGAGGTCGCTATTCTCCCAGGAGAGGAAGGCCACAAACCAACAAGAAGGGAAGTTCTTCCAGCCGTCACTCATCTCAACTCTGCAAACTATTCCTATCACCATGAAAAGACAAAATTACAGGCAAACCAAGATCACAGAGACACCAGAGAAGGAGACAGACCTAACCAGTCTTCCTGACAAAGAATTCAAAATAAAAATCATAAACATGCTGACAGAGATGCAGAGAAATACACAAGAGAAATGGGATGAAGTCCGGAGGGAGATCACAGATGCCAGAAAGGAGATCACAGAAATGAAACAAACTCTGGAAGGATTTATAAGCAGAATGGATAAGATGCAAGA